AAGGGTATTGAATGTATCATGGATTGCCAAGGAAACAGATTCATCCTGGAGAGGGTTAAGCCAGGCTGCTCCTAGGAGGCAAGGATTCTGGGGCTTTGTCAGACATACTTTGGACATGTTGTAAGGAGGGAGAGGTCCTAGGAAAGGTACATCATGCTTGGGAGGATGGAGAGACGGCACAGGAGGGGAAGGCCCTCTATGAGGTAGATTGATTCAGTGACTGGGGATTGATTCAGTGACTGGGGTAATCGGGATGGGTGTGTCAGAGACAATGCGATTGCCACAGGACAGAGCAGGGTTAAGGACTGTTGTACATAGGGTCGCTATGAGTCGTAAGCAACTCGACGGCACATAACAACAATAGTTCTTAGTATTGAATTGTTATTGTGTAACCTTGAGTCAGAGGCAGTTAATTGCACAGGAGGAGATTGCCCATCCTTCTTCTGCAGAGTGGCTGGTGGCCTCAAACCATGTACCTTTGGGATTGTAGCACAGCTTCTTGCCATTAGGCCATGAGAGCTCCCTAGTACTGAATGTACCTTTGATTTATCTTCCAATTTACAATGACCATCCCACTCATAGCCTTACCTCTAAGGTCCCATATTGACCTTCACTGATACATCTTCACCATCTACATGTGCATTGAGATTCCCTTGAGGTCCAACCCTTGAAATTATATATTTGAAGAGGGTAGTAAGAAAAGGGAATGCAAATGGTTAATACACTCAAGCGGTTCAAATATCCTCATCTGAAAAGAAGGGTTTAGTGATCTGCTTCTGGAGTCAATCAATGTGAGCTCTGTGGAGCACAGTCGTGCTCTGATACACATAGGGACACAATCAAGAGGAGTTGACTTGATGGCATTTGGTTAGGGAGAGATAAGAGAGAGAGACAAGAAGGCTGACTGGTTGATGATTTCCTTTTTGGATATGAAGATAATATACGGAGCCAAAAAGCAGCAAAGACATTTGGTTTACAGAGAATGAAAGAATAAGGAAAAAGACAGAAAGATATGAGACAGAAAGTCCTGACCTCTCCGTACTTGGGTTTCAGTTCTTTTCTGGATTCTGCCTGTGGATTCTGTGAGTGGTTCCTTGACTCCTATATAATCAACATCCACTTCTACGTAAGCTTCCTTGAGTATTGCTATCTCTTATTTGTAATCAAAAGTGCTCTCCCAAACTTATAATTCTGAGAATAGAGTGCATGTATGATGGCTGACATCTATATCCAGGAATTTCTGGTTATGTTGGAAACTGATATTTAGCTAGGAGTTAGGGGTTGACTTGAACACATCAATTAAAATTCACTGTATGCTGGAATAGAAAAATCAAGGCATGATAAAAGAATATAAGAAAAGAGGCTTTGTTTCACTATCCATGAACTAGTCAGTATCTGAGATCTTGATATGAAATTTTCATGGACTGAGATGTTTCCCAATTTTCCTTAGTAGTAATCAGGCTAATTTTGGCAAAAGGAGAGTTTTATTTAGGGGTTAATGGAACTAAATGGAACCATAGCCAGCCATGGACTGAGTTTTAAGAATTAACTGAAACCAAGAACTTAAATGTCCTGAGAACTTTGCTTCTCTCTATATTGTCTATTTTTTCATCTTCTTATCCTGACATTTAAGAATGCCTGCAAATGACTTTCCAACACTGGGAAGACAGTACTGCCAGCCCCAGGCTACATGTGCCAGAAAAGGAATTCATTGGTCTAATTTGCATTAGATGTCTATTTCTGGACTGATCATTTGTAGACAGGGCAGACTAAAGAACCATGGTTAGATCACCTTGGGTTTACAGCTCTCTCTAGGACCAAACAGTTGTGGCAAAGAGGGCCACTGACACGAAAGAACATTGTAGAAGGTCAGAAGGAAAGGAGATGGTACTAGGATGATACTTTATGGGAATCCATAGCCCTCTGCTATCAGAGGGTCTTTCATGAGTTTGAACCTAGTCTCAATTCTCTACGAATAAGATTCCTTTCACTTGCCTACTTCTCTGACCAAGAAAACTAAGTTGTTAATAATGTTCTATTTGATATCAGAATATTTAATATACAGGCTGGTGAAGAGAATTCTTTGATTTACTGCTCAAAGATGAACAATTTGTTTTACTATATTGCATGTAGGGAGCTCTGATGGCTTAATAATAAGGAGCTGCATGGCTAACTCCAAGGTGCATGGTTTAAACCCACCAGGTCATCTGCAGGAGAAAGATGGGCAGTCTCCTCCTGTGTGATTTATTTGCACTGGAAACCCACGGTCATCTGCAGGAGAAAGATGGGCAATCTCCTCCTGTGTGATTTATTTGCACTGGAAACCCACGGTTATCTGCAGGAGAAAGATGGACAATCTCCTCCTGTGTGATTTATTTGCACTGGAAACCCACTGAAGGGTCAGCTATGACTTTTTTCCTGACTCATTAGTACACAACAGCATAAAAAATTCAATTAGGGAACTATTGTGGCTTCGTGGTAAGGAATTGCACTGCCAACCTAAAGTTTGAGGTTTGAATCCACCAGTCACTCCATGGGAAAAAGATGAGCGATCTCCTTCTTCGTGATTTGCTGCCTCTTCAAACCCTCTGAAGAGTCAGTTATAACTTGGTTCTGACTCAACATGTATATAACAACAGCAACACAGAGCAATGATTCATTTACTGCCTTTTAAAATATTAAAGTTAACACAAATTTCTTAACTTATCATGTTAAGTCCCAAAGTGAACGTGACAACTAAAATAAAGATGTCATGAACTTGCTTTTGAAGCGTGTAGGTGTGAGTTTATTTAAATGCTGGGGATGAACAGGCTCTCTAACGGCTGGAGAACAGGCCACATGACCTCCAGGTTCTGGATTATCTGATTAGAAGACAAAGTGAGTTTACAGGCCAAGCAAATTCTAAAGCTTTCCTGATGCTTCCTCCCACATAAGCAGGATCTGAAAAGAGCCTTTTACAGTACCTTTAGCCAGATCCATAATTGCATACTATTTTAAGCCACCAAACTGACTCGACCAACAAATTTGAAGGTGTCCAAAAACAAGATGCAAAACATTTCAATAAAACTGGCGGATCACAGAGAGAGGGAATTTCACGGTTCTTGGACTCTGGCTTTGGCTTCACTTTGAGGAGGACTCCTTCCTATGTATCCAAATCCCAAGATGTCTCTCTCCTAAAAGAGCAGATTGAACGCTAAGCTCTATTCCTTGGTCATCTTTCTTGCCATCCGCCAGTCTATGACTCTCATGTGCTCACATGGCTGCCTGTGGCTACAACAGGAACCAGGAGGAACTTCTCGCCACTTAAAATTTGATCATTGTGAATTTTTCATCATGGATTTTTTTCCCACATAAGTATGTTTTTTAAAAAAATATTACAATAAAGTATTATTTATCATGAGTTATCTTAAATTTGGCACCTGACTGTATTGCCCTCATCCCAGACCTGCTATTTAGACAGACTTAAGTTGAGGGTCCAATGAACCTCTTAAGATGTGGCTATCAAGTTCACTCTAGATTTCTCCATCTTTCTTATTGGGCTGTTTTGAGGCTTAAATAAGATGGTACATAGAAGACATTTATCATGCTTAACACAGCATTTAATACACACATTATTACCACTAATACTAATAATAACACAAACAGAAGCAACAGCAATAACATTACACAGCTATGCTATAGTTATCAACAATAATACATAATTCCCTCCCTAGAGAAATCATCTACTGGGAGATTTAGACATGGAAACAAATAATCACCATTCAATTAAATGCCATAATAACAGTGGGGCCTAATGAAAACGCAGTGGTGGGAAGGACCAACTATTAGCTACTTAGGGAAGTGGTTATAAGTCTGGTATTAGAAGCTGAGCTGGAGAGGAGAAAAATAGAGGAGAAAAGAAAGGTCATTCCAGTGGATTGAGGGTTCCATGGAGACAAAGACAGAGCACATGTTACTGGTATACTCAGAGGAGACTACATAGGTAGCTATAAAGGGGAATTCTGGTGGGACAGTTGCAGAAGGTGAGGTCAGTAAGAAATGACGTAGTCTGTGGATTAAGAGCCTTGACTCTTCTTTTAAAAAAAGTTAGATTTTTTGTCTCTCAACTTTAGGAATAGGAGAGAATTCTTATTAAAGACTTTGGAGAATGGATTTGAAATATTGATATATGAGTTTTTGGACAGCAACAATGTGAAAGATGGATAAAAGTGCGAGTAGCCAAGGCTGGGACTTCTCATTAAGAGGCTCTGAAAAGGCTTTGAACATGAGGATTTGATTAAAAGTCCTAGCATGATGCTAGAGACATAAAGAGAGGGAGGGAACACAAATGAGAATAGGTGGCTGGTTGGGTGTGAATCCTTATGGGAAGGAAGGGGAAACGGAAGGTGAGCAAGAAGTTTCTCCTGCAGTAATTGGATGGAGAATATCCAGAAAGGAAATGCATGTGGAATAGGGTGGAGTGATGATAATGGAACAGACCTTGAATCCATTAAATTTGAAAGTCTGAGGGAATGCCAAGTTGAACTGTTCAAGAGATAGTTGCAATAGGAGTCTTGAAATAAGAAGAGAGGTGGAGGTGAGAGTTAGGAGTTGTTCGGGGAGCAAGAAGTGTGTGTTTTATATTTGGGATAGCTTGGATAGAAAGAAAAGGGGTGAGGGCTGGCCCCATCAAAGAGACCATCCTCATCTTCCCTCTTCTATGCTTCTTAAACGCATCTTTCAACTGAAAAACTAAACCAGTTGCTGTTGATAAAACTGACGTGGGATGGCCCTATGTGGTCAGGACAGAACTTATCCCCCAGAATTTTCAAAGACTGATCGATCTCCTGGCATTGGATCGTCAGGCATTTCTTTGGAGCCATCTCTAGGTGGATTTGAGCTTCCAACCTTTTGGTTGATAGCTGAACACTTAACTGTTTATATTCCAGAGGTCTTTAATAATTTCACCTCTGTGAAATTTCTGCATGGTCCCCCAGAAATTTATTCCCAAGTTTCCTTACCCTGGCTATTTGGTCAGCCATTTGGAGGCGTCCATCCAACTCCCGTCTGATCTGGGCTGCTTGCTCATCTGGATTATCCAACTGCAGAAAACACAAACATGAAGGATCTTTAGCATGGCCTTCCATTGGCACTTCCCATTCAGTTATGTGCCCCTTTAGACATATTTTCCTTTGATGTTCCCTAAGAGTTAAGGTGGTTATAACAAACAAATCCAATTTGTGTGAAATACAACTTCAGTTCTCCTAGGCACAGCATGATGTGTTGGGCAGTTGTTAGGAGAGACACTTGAATAACCTTACACAAGAATCATCAATCATTTCCAAACTGCTAGGCAGCAGAGCTTCTAATAAGGGCCTAATATGACTGTATCTGTTTTGGACCAAAGAGTAGGCATACAAGGAAGATAGTAGTATAACAAATACATCAAGTTGATGTTGTTGTTGTTGTGTACCATTGGGTCAGAATCGATCCTCAGTGGGTTTTCAGAGGCTACAAATCACATGAGACAATATGCCCCATCTTTTGCCTATGGAGCAGCTGGTGGGTTCAAGCTGTTTATCTTTGGGTTGGCAGTGCAATTCTTTACCACTCAGTCACCAGCTGATGAACATTAAAAAAAAAATTAAAAAATCCCCCAAACAAACCTATTACTGACGAGTTGACTCCAACTCACACACAGGGTTTTCAATAGATTTTTTTTAATTGCTTTTTTTCAGTAGGTTATTGGGACCTTTTTCCCCTGAAGTGGCTCTGAGTAGAATCCAACTTACAATTTTTTGATTAAACAGATAAAAGTGCAGCAACAGTTTGCACCAGTTCATAGCACACACATGGCACATATTTGGCCACTCTCCCATTCCTGCCCAGTAAAGATTACCCACTTAGTCATTTTATTCCTACTCATTGACCCTAGAGACCTCAACCACCACTCCAGATGACCCGTATTAATTAGTTGTTGCTGATACCTAAGTTAAAACCTATTATTGTCTTCCCTGATAATTAGAACTATTAGGATATAAGGAACAGAAGATCCAAGCACAAACAAGCCTTGGAAATACCCTAGTTTCTTTGGTTTCAGTTTTTACATCCATGAAGTGAAGGAGTAGATTGTGTAATCTTCCTTTTCAATCCCAATTTCTTATGAATATATGACATAGAGAGATGGATATTTCTGCAAATATGAGAGGATAAATATCTTGGACTTTGTGGGCTATAAATCTGCAGTGACTCAGCTCTTTCACTGTAAAATGAAAATGGGCAAAGACAATATAAATGAATGACCATGGGTATGTTCCAATAAAACTTTATTGACAAAAAAAGGAGGTAGGTTGTATTTTGATGAGCCCTGCTAGTATGTGGAAGGTTATTCCTCAGTTGTAAATGAGCAGCCTAGTATTATTCTTTAAATTATAATTGAGTTTGCTTTCATTCATGAAGTTATGATTTATTTTGTTCACATAAAATGCCTGATAAGTATGGAAAGGTGGTGTTCAAGTATGTGGAGTTTATTCCTCTGTTTAATACGTGTTAACTCATAACCAAAATGAAGCTGAAGAAAAATGTGTATTTTATAAGTCCCTATCTCCTAAAAGCTAATTTTATTCAGAAATTTGCAAGCGATACACAAAACTCAGCTTTATGGTTTGTTTAAAGAGGAGAAAATTTGTGCATGGGCCATGAATGTTTCTCTGAAAAGGCCAGAGAGTAAGAATATCACAGCTCCTTAATGCCCCAGAGTAGAAAGCAGATAAAGAACTCATAGCCCAGGCCGATGGCGCCTCTAGAGATACATCAATAGCAAGAGGTTTGTGTATTCACTGCCGACTCACAGATTCAGAGTTAAGGTACCAACAATGGGGTTTATTAGGGAAGGAAGTTGGAGAGTAGGAAAGGCAAAGAATATTACCCAAAACAAGTCTAGGTTTTAGCCCAAGTTTCAAGGCACAATTCCTCAATTAGTCCAGGATCTGGTTTCAGTTCAGCAGTCAAATACAAAGCATCCAACAAGATTTGACTCACAGTAGTGATAAGTCAGCTTCTCCTTCAAGCCTTTGGCAAGAACAGCAAAACCCTTTAAATGTGACCAGGACAAATACAAGAAGCCTCAGGTCATACCTTGCCACACACTCTCCACAGCAATGCCACAATCTCTAAACCACCACGCTCTCGCCACCACAAGCCTTGCTTGTCTCAAGTCTTGCTCCTGGTGTGGGAAGCACACCTTCTCTTATTCTAGTCTCACAGCTGATGCTGATTTGCAAGACCATGTGTCTGCAGTTAATGTAGCTGGAAAACAGAGGGGCTAACTGATGGCTAAAAAAGGCCAACTTTTAGGCTAAACCACGTGGTTAAAAAAATAAGAAGAATGAGTCTTAGCTAGATTATATAAAAGCATAGAAAATAATGCTTTCAGAGACTCTATGAACTTTGATAAACATCGATAGTTATAGAAAGGCTTCAGGCCATTTGTTGATAGGGTTTTTATGAGTCATGCTCGACTCAAAGGCAACCAAGAACAACAACAGCCGTGGCAAGAAGCTGCATTGAAATCCTGAAGGCATGCAGTTTGAGCTCACCAGCTGCTCCACGGGATAAGGATGGGTAATCTCCTCCCATGTTATTTACTACTTCTGAAAACCCACTGGAGGGTCTGCTATGGATCAGTTCTGAGTCAACAGTACACAACATACAACAACAATACAGTGCAGAGTAACAATAATACAATATGATGTAGAAAATTTACAGCCATATTTTTAAAGCATGATTTGTTCCTTAGGTTTATAGTGTATAAAACATAAAAATCCACCTGTTTTCTTTATCACACTGTTCACGTCAGGAACCACCACTACTTTATCTTCTCCTTCTGAGTTGATTTTTAAATTTTAAATACAGTAAAATATATTTAACATGAATTTTGCTACCTAGCCATCTCGAGTATATAGTTCAGAAGTAATTATTATAGATACAAGTTTGTACAACCATTACATAAATTATTTCCAAAACTTTTTCATCACTCCAAGGAGAATCTCTATACTTCTTAAGCATGACTTCCCATTCTTCTCCATTGCCAAACCTTGGTTATCACTAATCTAATTTCTGCCTCTATCTATTGTGCTTGCTCATTTTAGACACTTCATACAAATAGTAACTTCAATAATTATCATTTTGCAGACTTCGTATTTCCATAGTTCATCTATGCTGTGCATTAGGAATTTGTTTTTCTTTGTAGCTTAATAATATTCCATTGTATGAGTAGAAGATATTTTGTTTGTCTGTTGATGGATACTTATTTAATTTGTGGAAAGACTCGGTGGAAAAGCTCAATATCAGCAGTGAAAACCAGGCCGGGTGCTGATTGTGGGACAGACCACCAAGTACTCATATGCAAGTTCAAGCTGAAGTTGAGGAAAATCAAATCAAGTCCATGGGAACCAAAATTTGATCTTAAGTCTATCCCACTCGAATTTCAAAACCATCTCAGGAACAGGTTTGAGGCCTTGAGCACCAATGAGTGTAGGCCAAATGAGTTTTGGGAGGATATCAAGAAAATC